TGTGTGTGTGTGTGTGTGTGTGTGTGTGTGTGTGTGTGTGTGTGTGTTAGACCTGGGAAATTAGCATATGTTTTCAGTCTGATTAGTCTGTCTATGTGTTGTTTAGACCTTAATATGTGTTTGCACATTTCTATAAAATCTGAAATTAGGCCACTGGCCATAGAATACGGGATTTATATTTGTTTCTGAGAAAGTATTTTTTAGAAGATTTCAACATTCCAATTAGACTTATTTTAATATTTTCACTTTTTTTTCAGTTGAATGATAATATACCACATCTACCCATGATTGCCTATCACTATGTGTATTTTAAAACATATCTAGGTCCAACATTTTCTCTTTAATTAACACATTTAGCTCTCAGATGGCCTTTCTTGTTTCGAACAAGATACACCAACAAAACTCTCCTTTCACTGTGACCTTTGGGTCTGTGAGTCCCTGTGTGTGATTCTACGGTTGTACTACATCTGTCTACATGTGTCTTAAGCTGTGCTCTGAGATGCAATATGACGGTAAATAGAGGTGTAAATGCCAGCACTCTCAGGTGTTACCAAGAGGCTCATCTTACACTGCTGTTGGTTGGTTGCCAGGGGAGAGTTTGGTTATAGATTTCACTACCACTTCACATCTCACACACAAACACAGTCACGCACATACAACCAATGAGAATACAAATGTGTTTTTTCATTAAAAAATGTTTTGTTGTGTTGCAGTCATCTTTTTGCCATTGCTAGTCTCTCATATACCACCATGATGGATGCCAAAAAGGACCAGTGTATTGTGATCAGGTATGAAAAGCTGTTTTTGTATTTTGAATTTGCACTTCATTTCAACCAGCAACACTTGTATAAAACATTAAAACTTGAAGCTGTCTTATAAACAGTGAAATACGATATACTCAGGTTGAATTGTTTTGACAACGCACATTGTCTGACTAGTTTTATTACTGTGTTCACAGTGTGTAAAATCCTCTTTATGCGTAATGAAGAAAAAGTGTGAGAGACTCATGTTAACAGTTTTTGCTATTACAGCGGTGAAAGTGGGTCAGGAAAGACTGAAGCTACTAAACTGATCCTGCGATACTTGACAGCCATACATCACAAATGCAACGTCACACAACAGGTAGATATACACAGTATCAGGACATGCATGCTAACAAGTACACTCCATAGTGTGGTCATTTAAGCTAACACTGTTATCCTATCTTATCCATCTGTCCTTCTCCCATCAGATAGAGGTAAAGTATCCCTCTGCTTGTTTTTGCTCTAATGACAACCACCAACCCTTATGAAGGTATCAATGGTAACATGTCTGTCTGTGGTGATTGGTCAGATCCTTGAGGCCACGCCCCTTTTGGAGTCTTTTGGGAATGCCAAAACAGTGCGCAATGACAACTCTTCACGCTTTGGCAAATACACGCAGATCTACATGGAGGAGTGAGTACTTATACCTTTTACCAACGTGATCATGAGAAGAATAAATGTCAGCGACTGTTTCAAGATTTAAGAAAAGTAGAGAATCTAGATAATATAGAAACAAGTAATTTGATCATATATAGAAATACACATTAAAATCAAATCCAGCGTGGTCATCGTTAGTACAGCAGGCAGCATCAGATTTTCACCTTTTTTAATTGCACAAAACAAGAATACAATTACAATTAGTTACTGTATGTCATGGCTCAGAATTAAACAATATTTACATTAATATCTGATCTGACATTTGTCTACAACAAGAGTGCAGATTAGCTGTAGCTTCTCCGGGATAAACACGAGTGCTTGTAAAGCTAAAAAGCAGCTTGTTAGTTTGAATCTGAATAGTCGTCTGGTCACACATGTCTCACACACACACACACACAGTGGGCTTAGTGGAGACCATGCTAACATGTTGCAGTGACACAGTTAGAGGAGTAGTTGATCTTCTGCTGGACCAGAAAAGATCCGAGGACATTACACATGCATGACCTGTTACTGTGTGTGTGTGTGTGTGTGTGTGTGTGTGTGTGTGTATGTGTGTCATTTACAAGAGGTGTAATCAGCGGTGCCATAACGTCTCAGTACCTGTTGGAGAAGTCTCGCATCGTCTTTCAGGTGAAAAACACAGACATGGACTCAAACACACACACACTTGGCAGGTCACCTGGAGTCTTCTTACCAATGAGTCATTGTGAGAATGAGGAGATTGTAGAGGAAGACAGGAAGAGAGGTGTCAAACATGTTCCCCTCCATCTTTACACAGCCCAGTCTGTTCATCAGTCATCCATCCATTTGTCTTTTCTTCAGCGTTGTTTCCAATTCAGTAAATCTACCACCACAAATATAAATTCGGGAGCTTTTGTCAGTGTGTATGCAAACAAATCCACATGATAGTTGATTTACGTATGCTGTGTGTCTGTGTGTGTGTGTGTGTGTGTGTTTGTGCTTGTGTGTTTTCATCCACAGGCCAAATCGGAGAGGAACTATCACATCTTCTATGAGATGTTGGCAGGTCTTCCTCCTCATGAAAAGCGCTCACTGTATCTGCAGGAAGCTGAGACTTACTACTATCTGAATCAGGTGCAAAAAATGAAACACACACACACACACATACACAGATATAGGGAGTGGTCATTGTAATCAATTTCACAGTCACATTAACAAATGAGATGTCAATTTTCTGAAAATGTCATATTTATTTTACAAATTGATTAATGGCACAAGCATAAAACTCATTGCGGTACCCAAATACAGAGTAAAGAACCTTTGCAGTCTAGAGTTTTTGTATCTGAGATATTTTGAGTAATGAATGTAATTTGCTGATTTCTAATATTTTGACCCCTCAAACAAAGCAACGTCTTCTTGTGACCCCTTCATCATGTTGCATGTGTCTATGAGTTGTGAGTAGTTTAACCATAGAGGGATTTTACCTTCTCAGATTGTTTCGTTTGAGTAATTTTCTGAGGCCCGATGATCTTAAGCTATCCAACATTTCACAAATGAGGGAATAATGTAAAATAGTGAGAAGAATAGATGTAACATTGTGGCATGTCTCCAGTAATGATTCCCTCAGAGTGAATTGTTATAACTTTGGTGAGCTTCTTGCAGTAAAATTAAAAAATAGGATTTTTCCAATACTTTGGTTTTTGACCAAATACAGTACATTCCTAAAAAGCCTCAGCTGTATTTTGTGTTAAATTATAGTTAGCAAATGTGCTAACACGCTAATCTATGAAGTTGAACATGCTAAACATCTGCACATTATAACCATTCACAATAGGCCTTATCTGTATATCGGAAGAAGAGTGAATTTGTGCGTAAATGAACGTTCCAAATCTTTTTGTATTGTCATTTCCGCATCACCTTATATTATCTTGAATAGGTAAACCAGACATTTTGAAGAGGTATACTTTTAATAAATCACAACTTTGTTTTATGCATGTTATTGAAAACACACACGTTAAATACTTTATAATTGAGACCAAATAAATGCCTTATGCAGGGTAAACATCTCGTTCTTTTTGATTCCTCTTATCAGTAAAACAAACAGAATGAACGCTAGCCTTTCATATTAGAATGAATGCTATGCGTAGGATACAGTTATCAGAACGATAAGAACATTCAGGCTCCCTCGTGTGTCTCAAAGGTCCCTGTTCCTGCACAACTTGCTGCCGTCATTGAGCCGGTTTCCTCTCTTGGATTGCTTTGTACCACTTCATGAGATGTGATGAAACACAATGCAACACGTTGCTCATGCCAAAAGATCCTTGACTAATCACGCCGTTATTGGTGGTGGTTACTACCAGCACATGTGGCTCTTTTTTTTTTTTTAAACAGTAGTAGTGTAACATTTCACTGCGGCCTCTGCGGCTGAAAGTGTGGTCAGAATCGTGCGCTAATTGCACCAATTACCACAGCCAGCCGTGATGTCGCAGTGTACTAACACTCCCTGGATAATACTTCTACATCGCTGCATCAAGGTGAGAAGTTGAATCCCCAGAGGTCTGCAAAAACAAGACTTTCAGCTGCTGATAAGTATTCTCCTTAATTAGAGCAGTGATTAAACAGGCTGAGGATGTCGTTGTTGATAACAGTGTGTCCGTGTGTGTGATGTGTGTGCATGAGTGCAGGGAGGAGATTGTACCATAGAGGGAAAGGATGACGGGGAGGACTTCAGGCGTCTGCTGAGTGCCATGGACATCCTGTGTTTTACCCCAGAGGAGCAAACTAGCATCTACAGACTGCTGTCCTCTGTCCTTCATCTGGGGAACGTCTACTTCCAGCCACACCAGGTCACTCTGCCACACACACACACACACACACACACACACACACACACCCACACACACACACAGGCTTTAACTGCATTTAATTTCACAGCTGAATGATAATGATGATGTTGATAGATGACGGTGATAATGATTGTCTATGCCTCCGTACTTGTGGGTGTGCGTCCCTGCAGGCTGAGGGTCAGGAGGTTGCGTCGGTGGTGAGCGCGCAGGAGATCAGGGTGGTCGCTGAGCTGCTGCAGGTCTCACCTGAGGGCCTGCAGAAGTCTGTCACCTTCAAACTGACAGTGAGCAGAACACTAGACTGTAGATTTAGGCAATTATATTATAACAATTAGAGAGGTGTTGTCAGATAACAGATGTGTTTGGTCCCTCAGGATACAATAAGGGAGAAGATCTTCACTCCGCTCACAGTGGAGAGTGCTGTGGATGCCAGGTGAGTGAGTCTGAATATAGTATCTGTTAAATTAAACACAACCTACTTCTGCATGGAGTGACCTGAAAAAAAAGCGTATCTGACAGTCTTGTTTGAGGCTTTTTAATGTCCTCATTTAAACAAAACAAAAAAACATACCAGGAGACTACTGAGAGGGAATGAGGCGCCTTTGATATTCTCTTCCAATCTGTGGTAGAGGCATGCGAGGACAAAGGACGTCAGGGCTGGGGGAGAGATTTTTCAGATGTCCTCTGTTTCCATAGGAACCGGGTTTTCTGTTTCCATAGAAACCTTATTGTGTGTTTTTCATAGAGATGCCGTTGCCAAGATCCTCTACTCGCTGCTGTTTAGTTGGCTGACAGAGCGCATCAATGGACGGGTCTACCCTCGCAACGAAGCCCTCTCCGTCTCCATATTGGACATCTATGGATTCGAGGTCAAGCTGAAAAATGATCTCGCTCTATAATGTCACAGCGCTGATGCGTCTGAGCTGACCCATGTTGACTCAACTCCCCCGCTCCCCCATTGTCTCCTCTCTTTACCCTCCAGGAGCTACAGGTGAACAGTTTTGAGCAGCTGTGCATCAACTACGCCAATGAAACTTTGCAGTTCTTCTTTAACAGGGTCGTCTTCCAGGAGGAGCAGGTCAGGGAAACTACAAGTCCATATTTCCATACTATTCGTATTCTCCCAGTGAGGATGGATTTGCAAATTTGCTTGTCAAAAGACATCTAGTTTAAAACCAGTCTGAATGTGGTTGAAAAGTATGAAAGAAAAGTTTAAAAGACAGCTCGCTATAATCATGAGATAGGTCCTAGCTGCACATTGCAATATAAGTATTCAGTGTGTTCACATACAGTTTAGTAATTGAGTTACAGTCCGCCTTCTACAGTAACCTGATTTCTTAAACTCTATGTTTACAAGAACGCAAGAGGCAAGGGAAGAGAGAAACCTGATTTCACAGGATAGATGTCTCCTGGGGAAAGACATCTCTTGGCCATGTATTCACGTTATCATTTTTTAAAAGGAAAGATAGTTAAAAGTAGCGACGCATCATTGCATTCAAAACCAATTTTATTGAAACTATGAGAAAAGTAGCCTGCAGTGGCGTCAGGTAGTTACGAGGGGCCCAGTGCACTTTAGTTACTGGTAATAAAGCGCGCGCACACACACACACACACACACACACACACACACACACCATCGTCTCAACTCGTCATAGGATCAAATAGAGACTTGACATTGGACAACATCATATCATACATATAACTCAGCATATATATCTGCATATGACAAAAATACCAAAGAAAATAAGGCCTTGTCCACACGTACACAGGTGTTTTTGTAAAAGTCGTTTTTTCATGCATTTTGGGCTTTTGTCCGCACCCAATTGGCATTTTAGGTCACTGAAAACAGAGCTTGTGTAAAACTTCGGTCGGGGTGAATATTTTCAGAAATTCCACTTGTAGCATCAGAGTGTGCACCGTTATTTCCTTTGAGAGGCGTCGTCAAAGATGAGGCACAGATACATCTATTAATGGCGGACGTGGTCAAATAACCCCTGTATGCCTGTATGAACAGGATTTTATTTTGAGAAAGAAGAATAAACATATTATTTTTATAAAATGGAAAACCATGATGTGGATGGGTTTGCCTTTTTGAGGGCAAAATGACACCACTTGTGTGTTGATGTAAGATCGTATTTGAACAAAAGGGAATACCAATCTGAATCACTCGCTATAACCCGGTCTCTGCCTGATGAATTGTTAGTGGGCCTGTCCACTCTATGTGCTCCCCAAGGGATATATATCAGTGTATTATAAGGTGTTTTAAATAATATTGGGAATAGGGAAGAAATCTGATTATGTGCAGTTGCTAAAGTTCATGTAAATCTGATTTCTAACTTTCTTTAGTAGCTTTGTTTGCTGTGTCCCTATACAGTAAACTTTCTGATTATGATGCTGTTGAAACAACAGTTAAAAACTTCTCAATCAAATGTAGCATTGTTTTAAACAAAATGTCGATATCTTTTGGTCTGCAAAACACCAAATGAATGCTTACTCGGTTAATAAATATACACCTAAAGCCATAAATCTAGATCTGAACCTGACATCGCTTTTGTTTTTAGTAAAAAAACTGTTCATGAAGAGTGAAAATATCATTGTATAAACAGCCTTGTTTGTAACGTGACTCATTTCAGAAAAGCTCTCATAAACCCACAAGGTCATTAACTCTCACAAACTATAGTGGACACAGCAATACTTCAGCTGAAGAGAAAAGAGAAAACAGTTAGAAGAGTTTGATACTCGCCAAACCTGATGAACTCTTGTGCTGTGTGTGTAGGAGGAGTACATGCGGGAGCAGATCAAGTGGCAGCAGCAGCCCTTCAGCCACAACCAGGCCTGTCTCGACCTCATCGCTGCTAAGCCTCATGGGATACTGCGCATACTGGACGACCAGTGCGCTTTCCCTCAGGTACATCCACACTTGTCGAAACTAAACTCATTTCCAAAGTTATTGGAAATCATTTCTACTAAAAAATGAAGTTAGATTAGATTTCAAGAAACTTTTTTTAGACCTTACATTATTTCGGTGTACTGTGAAAAAGAGCTGACAATAACATGATTGAAATATTCCATACCTCGGTTTTGAAAAGAAATTGAGTAAAAAAAGAAAACATCTCACTTTAGATTTCTCATAAACCAGGAGTCTGAGTCTATCGTAGCCAGTTCAGATCAATAAAAAAAACGATCCCACATGCTCGTCTAATTGCCTACCTGCCGTTATCATTATTCCCGGGGCTCGTAATGTGAGAAACTGACTCTTGAGATAAACTTATTATGAAACGTCTCTGACGCTCGGAGTGAAATATGAACACGCTGCTATACACGAGTAACAATCTGCTGAACACACACAGGCGGCATGTGTTCGTGCTGTAGACATTTAGTATCCGTGGCTCAACAACCGCTAACCGTCTACAATCATTGCTAGGCAACAGACCACACCTTCCTTCAGAAGTGCCACTATCACCATGGAAACAACCCGCTGTATGCAAGGCCAAAGATGCCACTGCCAGAGTTCACCCTGAAACACTTTGCTGGGAAAGTCACGTACCAGGTACGCTTCTTTATTTATGTCCTTCTTTCGTCATCTAATTGTCTTTCTTTTTTCAAAAACTGTTTGAAAATCTTTTACTTTTTTCTCAGTTGTTTTACCAAAGAATACTAAAAACAAACATCATGAACCAAGTAGCATATATATTTACTCTACTGTCGGTTAGTTTGTTTGTGTTATTGTGTGACTTTGGTTCTTTAAAAAGTAAGTTCGGATTTACCGAAGTCAAAGGAGTCTCGTGGCTTTTTATTCTCCACCTCGGCTTTATGTGCACAGGGCTGTTGAATGTTTGTTTGTCTGTTGTTGAATCGGACATCACGAGGTCCTGGTGTGAATTTGGTTCTCACATTTTACTATTGATCTGTGGTGCAGGTGCACAAATTCTTGGATAAGAACTTCGACATGGTTCGCCAGGATGTTTTAGACCTCTTCATCCAGAGCAAGAACAGAGTGAGATATTCAAACGCACTTTTGTCTTTATTCCACAAGTCATCTTTAATTACATCTTTAATATCATGATTGTTACTCATCATCCTGTGTTGTGGTGGTCCGGCACAATATTCTTTTTACTTTTCTGTTAAGAAATATCCAACAACCTCTTTAGTAATTATTGTTTTGTGTTGGGAATACATTTTTAGTTTACATTAAGTTGAACTAGTGCTAAATACTTTTGTCATCTCCTGTTTGAAACTCATTTCATATTCAAACATAGCTACTACAAATTCTATCTATTACATGACATGTTTCTCAGGATTGACTGTTCACGCTTTGGTTTACCTCTTTGTCTTCTGCATTGTGTGTGTGTGTGTGTGTGTGTGTGTGTGTGTGTGTGTGTCTGTGTGTGTTTACAGATGGTATCCAGCCTCTTTTTAAAGCATTCAGAGTCTGCGTCTAACGTGCGGCGCAGCAGCGCGGCTCGCCGTCATCAGGCCAACACGGTCAGCGCAAAGTTCCAGAGCAGCCTGCAGGAGCTTCTGGAGAAGATGGAAAGGTTTGAGTAAAACATTAAACCTTTAGGACAAACCTCTGACACACCTTCATAACATCAGTGGAAAAAAGTGTAATGTGTTCGAAAGCGCTCCCTATTTGCCACTGATTAGTGCTATAGTTGCCTTCCTTCGTCTCATTTGCGTGTCCAAATTTTAAGTGTGAAATGTATCTGGTGCCATCACACATTCCCACATTAACTGTACGCTTTGCTCCTAAGAAGGCAGAGGGACATTGCATGCAGTGGCGTTGGCAGGATTCTGTTTCATAGTACGCACAAGAACCGCCCGCTTATTGGCTGCGTCTCGGTTCCCTCGAGCTTAAATACGCACTCCTCATAGCATGCAAGAGAGAGAGACATTGATTCATGTTTTTTTGTGTTACAAATACAACGTATTTCTAAGACCAGCCAACATGCCTGGAAAACAAAACCAACCAAGCTAAATAGTAGGCTACTATATAGTGAGAAGCCTTTAGGCCCTGGAGCTACCGTGTTTTGAAAGCCCTTCCCTCCCTTCACAATATGCCACGGCAACTTTAATTCAGCACCCCCCGTCGTTGGACAGCGACAAATACTGAACGGAGTGTCCTCTTAATCAGTAATATGAAACTCATCATCATAAGACAAAATGTAAAACTGTACCTACAGTCTGAAGCTTCATTCATTTGAATAGATTTTCTATTTTTATTTGGATATTTTTTAGCACGTTGGCTAATGTTCAAAGATTTGACATTATAAACATTTAAGCATACAATCATTTATATATATATATATATATATATATATATATATATATATATAGGCACACACACACATCAATAACATCAGTGTTATTCTAAATCTAAATAAACATTCGACATGCCTATTCATTGTGTTGTTAATTCTAAAAGTCAAACTTTCATTTCCAAAATTAACAATGTTTTTATCTAACGTAATATGCCGTTTAACCTTACAAAACAAAATTCCACTGCTGGGGCCTCAGCCTCGGAAAGCGTGCGCAAGGTGACTAGCCAACTGTCGGCGTTAAGCCCAAAAGCAACGGATTCTCTCATTATGCAGCATCATAAAAACAGTTCGGCGGAAACAACGAAATGCGTACAGGATTACAGCTGCGGGTGCCACTGATTGCACCTGTCAGACACTGCGAGGTACTACAGGATGTAGAGAGTGTGTATGATGTGGGAAGTAGTGAAAGAGAGAGTGACACATACTGGATTAAGGCCTTGTGCCTAAATAGACAATGAGTCCTGAAAAATGTAGACTGAAGTGATTAGAGATCAGTTCTGGCGTCGTATAAGCCTCAGTGTGTGTCAGTGTTTGTAGGAGCCATCTATCTCGGGAAGATGAATCTTATTTGCCTGATTTGAGCTTAGTCACGTCTCTTATAGATGAAAAAAAAACGAGGCCTCGGGGGATCTGTTAATATGTAGCTTCAACTGTAAAACCATGCCATGCTCCACCGATTTCCCTACTTAGTTGCTTTTCCTCTCAGTTGGAAAAGTTGGAAAGCGCTGGACTATTGTATGAAGCCTTTATCAAATCATACATTCATTTATCCATCCGTTCGTTCTCATCTATCTGTGACAGGTGTAACCCTTATTTTGTGCGATGCATCAAGCCAAACCATCATAAGGTATATTTGCAAGTTGGATGGTGTGTGCAGGTTTGCAGTGTTTTGCATTTTGATTGATCTGTAACATGCAGCTCATGTGTATTTATGTGTATGTGTATGTACGTGCGTAGGAGCCAGGAGGGTTTGACATGGAGCTGGTCAACACTCAGCTGCATTACTCTGGCATCATGGAGACCATCCTCATCAGGAAAGAGGGTTATCCAATCAGAATGCACTTTCACCGCTTCCTGACAAGGTTGGTTACTTACCAATCTTTACATTGAGGAGAAATGTGCACTCTAATTGAACCATGTGAGCTTAAATACAGTACAGACTGTCTCAGCCTCTTGTTCAGCTTCCTTTCCTAAAAAGAATATTTTCTGCTCCTCCTATCACTCACGACTTTGTCAAATAATTGACACGATTGCTTGAATTATTGCCTTTTTTCTGGTGTGGGTGAAATTCACACACCAATTTCTTCTTGCTGAAGAGCCATCTGGCACCTGCCAGCTCCTGCAGTAGGAGAGCAATTGATCTCATAGCACCTCTGACATCTGGCTGCAGTTTGAGAGTCCAGCATTCACAGTCAATTAGTTTCACACCAAAACTACAAATACCTAAAGGGCAACTTACGTTTTGTGCCCAATTGACTAATGTGGACCACAATTTTTGTAATTTGTGCAGTATTGAGCGAGAACGCTGCTGACGGCAGCCATTATTAGGGCTGCAATGTAATCATCATTCCTCATTGGCAATGTACGTCCACTAAAAGTACTTGTTTTTTCCACTGACAAGCTTGGATTGTTATTATAAGTGTCTGACAACAATAGAGAGAGAACTCCACAGAGAAATAAAACTTTCTTTATCTTTTGCTTGATCCAATCTGTTTGTTGTTGTGTGTCGCGCTCGGAGAAGTCTCAGAAATCAGCTAAATATGCAGACTTTAGATTGAAAATCTTTTGGTTAACACGAAGCTACGCTTTCTGTACTCAAACTCTGACAACATCAGCACTCCTCTCTTCAACAATCACACGTTATTGCCATTCCGATAACAAGTCACATGACACATTAATAAACAGACCACATCAAGCGAAAGTTAAAGAAAAACGTATTATTTCTCTGTAGGGTTCTTTCTATAACGTTGTCAGACACTTACAATAACAATCTGTGCTCGTACATTGACAGTGATGAGTTACAGTCAGTTACAGTAAAACACATTCTCAGTCACAATTACTCCAGAATTCCGATTGGATTGTCATTTTAAATGTATGTGTGGGAACGCACAGGTACAAAGCCCTGCTCTGCCTGAAGGATCCTCCACCTGCAGACGGAGAAAACTGTGTCATCATGCTCCACAAGCTCGGTCCGGTCAAGAACGGCTCATATCAGCTGGGAGTCAGTAAGGTGAGCTCTCTCCGTAACATACACATGTGCAACATGAGGTCAAATGAATCATACATAAGAAATAAATACTGTGATGCTGAGATTTGAGTTTGTTTGTGTGTGTGTGTGTTAGATGTTCTTGAAAGAGGAGCTGTATCAGTTGTTGGAGGGGAAGCGCGACCGCTTGCTGAACATCGCCGCCATGACACTGCAGAGATACACCCGAGCATGTTTTGTCCAAAAGAATTTTTCCAAGATGCGGCGGTGTATGATCAGGTTTGAAACTCGCTGCAGAGGCTACCTGGCCAGGTAATGTTCCCCTGAAGTCAACTTACATTTAAAAATAAATGGATGCCCCCTCATAGCGTACATACAGGCTGCACAGAGTGGTGAGCTGCTCCACTAAAGCAGGATATTTATTATCAGGTTGTTTTATTTTATTATCATTGCACACTTACAAACTGGAAATTATTCTGTTTTACCCATTAAATGTAGAAAATAGAGAAGAAAAAACTATTTTTAAATCATCCTTAGTTCCAGAGCGCATGCTGAAAGCCACAAGTATCATCAGTCTCTTCCTGCAAGTTGACCCTTTAAAGCTTAAGCTTTCTTTAATAGGCAGCGCCCTGTCGTGCTTCAGTCTGGGGTTTCAGTCTTCAGCTTGGCAATTTAGACTTTAGTGTTTGGTTTCAGAGAGCCAAATGGGTCAAAGCTTATCACAGACAACCTGCTTATTTTTGTCCTTCGGCTGAGCAGACAGGGTTAGAGGATTCAGGGTGTGATCGTCCATCCAAGGTGATAGATTTCTCACTCACTGCCAGTCTGACAATTTCTTTGAATGGGTAAAAATGCACTTAATCGCTTAAAGAGGACACTAAAATTGCAATAAACGCAAGGTCAGACATTTAAAGTCTGTAATGATGCTTCAGAGATCGCTTGTCACGCTTTGATGAATTACACATCATGCATTTAAACTATAACTAACTCTATAAGTGCCACTAAAACAAAGTTGCTTCACAAATTGTGCCGTCTGTTCTAATTGAAGTGATTGACGTTATAGTAGAAGACGTCTTTATCTGGCTCTGTATGAATAATTCATCTTCCGTTGTTAACGCTTTTTCCTGAACAGAAAAAAGTTTGCTCTGAGGAGGAAGTACCTCATCAGGCTCCGCTCCGTCGTGCTGCTCATCGTCAACCGCCAGCGTTACATGAGGGTATGCACACTGCGTCTGTGTCAATTGCAGTATTTGTGTTTGGAAAATGAAGTTAAAAAAAATTAAAAATGAACAAATGTGTGAAGTGTGATGCTGTTGTCTTTCTGTCAGACAGTGGTGGAGCCTGCAAGGAAGGCAGAGGAGGTGAGTGAGGGGGTGAAATGAGGTGAACGTGTCCGAGATGGAGCAGACGCACACTTTGAGAGAGAGATGAAGACGTAGCATCAGTGTATAATATACAGTATATGTTGAATGTGTGTGTTTGCAATGTGTGTAGGATCGCATCAACAGAGAGGTGGTGAATGTGACAACGCTGCTTATCCCTGCTGAGCTGGCAGTTCTGCTGCAGGCGGCCTCAGGTGCATACACACTCACACACACACACACACACACACACACACACACACACACACACACATTAGTTTCATGCATGTCTGCATGCATAATGTATGCGCTTATGCATGCAGCATAGGCGTGCTGTTTTATGTCAGCCTTTCCACCGTGCGTGACCCAAAGTGTCCTCTTGCAGTGTTGTGCAGTACACAGCATTTTCAATGCCGGGTACTTTACCAAGGAAGGAGTAAACCTCCTGGAGCTCTCTAGAAAACCTGAGTGTACTTACATGTCCTGTAAGCAACAGCCTTGACAACGACACATTGATTGATTGACCCGTATACAGACAAATCGGTGTTGAATTCAGCATTGTTTATGTTTTTATATTGTGTAAAGTAATAAGTCGGATAGAAGATGATAAATATCTATGTAAGCGCTGATAATAAGTATAATATTATGACTTTTATTTATATACTGTATATGTATACGAATACATACGAAAGTGTCATGAATTTAGCTAGAGATTTATTCCACCTTTCTTGCAGTTGGGTTAAATAATATTTAACTCCATCTTTCTGTGGTGACATACGGCCTGCTGTGTGTGTGTGTGTGTGCGTGTGTGTGTGTGTGTGTGTGTGTGTGTGTGTGTGCAGGTGGTGAAG